AAATTTCCACCAACCAAAAGAAGCAGCTTTCTTCTATCAGAAGACTTATAATTTTAAGGAGGTACTTCTCCCCTGACACTCTCCAAAGGGAGTAGGTGGAATTTCAGTTTACCCAGGATGTTGGGTCCAACCAAAAAAACATCAAATAGAACCCTTCAGTTCAAATTATAGGGAGAACTTGGTAAGATTTTCCCCCGGTATCTTTGATGTATCTCTGGCACCAACATTCAAAAGGAAATGCAGCATTTCTAGGACTTGATTTTCTTGCAAAATGTAGAATCTGGCTGGTCTCTCAGCCAGGTTCCTTTAATTGAGAAAGGTAATTTTTTTTAAAACATAAATGCTTAATGCATAACTTAACACATACTTTTAAGGGACATACACTTCACAAACTTTACAAAGCACTCCCCTCTCCTTCATATATATATTTATATATGTGTATGTGTGTGTGTGTGTGTGTGTATTTGTTGTTCATATTATAGCCTTTAAAGTGTCAGAAATGTTTTCCCAAACCTATTATATTAGAATGTTTGTTCAACTTCTTAGTAAACTTCTTTCAAAGAAGCTTTTAGAATCATCAGATTTCCTCAGGGCAAATATTTAGACAGTTTCATCTAATACTAAAAAAAGAAAATAAGGAAATTGACGGTTTCTGGTGCTATTCATCTTCAGGCAAGTCTCAATCATGCTAATTTCTACCAAAGCAATCAATATCTATTGTGGAGAAACCAGATATCACTTCCTACTGTCCTCTCCCAACAACCATTTTAAATCCAGCATAGTGGACCCTCACTCTCATGAGACTCAGCCCCAATCAAAACTGGGAAAGTAGAAGCAAGAAACAAGTCTAATATTATTGGGGGGGAGGGGAGTTCTTTAAATAAATTGATTTGTAACCAAGCTGAATTCTTACTTTATTTTCATTTCTTCTAAGTTAACCACCACAAAAACCTTAAGAAATCATCAGGCTCACTTCTCCTACTTTTTCATACCATCTTTATTTTGACCACCTTTGTAACTCTAAAACATAATATTATGCCCAATAATGCATTGATATGATGACTCTCAACTGCTTTACAAATCCAGGCATTATTGGACAATAGCTATTTTAACTAACCCACAAAATCTTTCCCCAAAAAATGCAACCTCTGACTTTTCCAGCGTCTTATAAATGTGTTTGTGTTAATAAAAGAGTGACTTAGAGCAAGGGCTTTTAAGTCAGATAGTTCTAGGGAAGGGCCTGGACTCTGTCACATACCAAATAGTGTTATGCTCATTGCACAGATGAGGAAATGCCCTTGAGAGAGAAAGCAATCTGCTTAGGATGGAACAGCCAATGAGTGGCGGAACTGGAACTCCAACCTGAGCAGTGTGACTCCAGGCAGCCCAAAGATGTAACTTATCAATGAGGCTTAGCAAGAATTCTCTGTGGTTATTTCTCACCGAAGAGATCCTTGTTGCATTTAAGGCAACCATATTCCTGGGCTCTCTCCCAGTTGTAAAGGACTTTTCAAGGGCCTAAAGTATTCAAGAACAACTAAAAACAGCCTACTTGTTAAGGGGCCCGCAATCTAGTAAAGGACTACAGTCTACCAGGAGTGTTTCCTAAAAAGATACCACCAATGGATTCTACATGTGCCAAGATACAAACCCCCTGCTCTGCGCATCCGCCCCAACCCAGGCTCCCCTTCCCATCTCTAGCCTTGAGCAACCTTGTCTATGAACCCCAATTTGCCTTGCCCAGGTGATCATTTTCTACGGGTCCTGTAAAGTAGAAAAAGATCGGGAAGCAGTGCACTATGGTACTAGAGGGGCCAGTCTGCTCTGCCTGCACCAAGTCAACCAGACAAAGCACTGCCACAGAAGGAGAACCAAGGGACCGCCCTGGGTGACCTAGACAAGCTCCAAGATCCCTTCTGGCTCTCAAATCCCTGAAGGGGAAATATAATTGGCAAATGAAAATTTTTCTTGGAATGGTACCTGCTCAGGACTTCCAGGGCAACCCAGGGTTGGGAATTAAGCTAAGTTCTCTATAATATTTGTCAGAAATGAGGAGGAGAGACAATTCTGAGAGTGCCTAAGAACGCGACCTCTTTTAGCCTTCCTGGTTCGTTTTCCTTTCCCCTACTGGAAAAGGTCCGTATAGTGACGTTATGGCTGCAAATGGAACCTAAGTTCCTCTGGGTCCCACCCAACAAGCACACAGACAACCTGGTACCTCCAGCCTTCCAGCCCACCTTCACCCTCAGCTGCGGCTATCTTTCCATTCAGGATGTGACACCAGGGAGAAATAGTGAAAAAGACCCTCAGGTAAGATAGGAATCAAACATACCGAGTTAAGATAGGAAAAACTGAAGCCAAGGGAAGGTCTGGATGAAACTTATTAGAGAAAGATTTCCTTATTTATTGTTCTTTGCTTGCAGTTACTGAAACAAGAGCTTTGAAGAGAGAAGGAGGGAGAAGCAAGAGATTTCTTCCATGATGGGATTGAAACATTTTAACATTTTAATCACCGGAACAAAAATGTCAAGAGGGTTTCCTCACCCCATGCTAACACCCACTCCCACAGGATTGCTCTTTCATCTAGTCTCCCCTTCCCCACAAGGCACAGAAGATGCCCGCACCACCACTGCCAGCTTTTTCCTGCCCTTCAGGTCTCAACTCCAAGGTCCTGTCCTCAGAGGGACCTTCTGAAGTTCCTTCCCCTCTCACGCCCCAGTCACTCAAGCTCACTGTCTCAGTTTATTGACTTTACAGCACTTGGTATCTCAGAAGTATTGTGTGCAATTGTTTTTCCTTGGTTATGGATGCTACCCCTTCTTAGAACAGTTGTTCCAGGGCCCTCATCTGCCTTGTTCACAGCTGAATTCCCAGCACATAGACCAATGCCTGCTGCTGCTGAGTGATCAATGAACGACCAAGGGAGAGCTAGAGGGGTAACGGAGTGGGAGAAGGCCCAGGAAGGGCAAAGGGGAGGAAAAGGCAGCATGTGATCTAACAACAAGTCAATTCAGTGGGGAACGGAGCGGTATGGCACAGATCAGATCGATTTTTTGACCTTCAAGGAAGCGTGTTGCTAAGTCATGGGCTCCTGGGAGGTGGGTTCCAATGCCACTCTGCCTCAGACCACACAGGTGATGACTTCTCCTTACGCTGAGCATTTCTAATGGGAAGCCAACTTCGCCACGCACTCCCCGATGCTCCCTGTGTCTGTGCACTTGCCAACTCTCCACACTGACCACTCCCACTTCTTCAGATCTCAGATTTCCCCTGCTGCTCTCAGCTGATATTTATTACACGCATAATAAAGAAAAGAGGTACCATGAAAAGAGAATTACCCTGTCTTTCCGATGGTAACGCCACCAACTTCGCTGCATCTATTCCACATACTCTGCCTTCCGGCTGGTGACCATGCAAGTAGTATTCCTTCTGCTAATGCCAACCTCCCCTTCCTTTCTCACCTGACCAAGGCTGTCTCTCTTGCATCATCCTCTTTCTCCTGCATCACCAGCACCTCCCTTTCTGTTGGATCATCCTCATCTTCACATCCTACTTTCTTCTCCTCATAGCCCTGTTGGGCCTTGGTCCCCAACATGCTGCTATCCTTAGATGTTTACAGTTCTTCCCATAGGTAATGGGAGCCATTGGAAGCATCTATGTAGGCAAGTATTAATAGTATGTTCAGATCTACACTTTACAAAGATAAGGGACATCACATATGCACTGTATATTTTAAATCAGTCCTTTCTCAGTCCCTTGCAAAGAGGGAATTGGGAAAGAAAGCCTTCTGCATACCTACCCTTCTCTCTGCTGGTCTAGCACTACTCTTGGTGGCCTGAGCAGAGAGAAAAAGGGTTTTCCATGGCTATGGCTTTGGACCAGAGCAGGGAAGATCCAGGATGAATACCATGCACACACATCTTACCCCAACCCACCTCCCCCTGCAAACAGGCAAAGGGCTGCGTATCTGCTGTACCACTGGAGGCCAAGAGGAGATGGTCATGCACTGCTGCCTTGGGCTGTGGCAGACATCTACCTGCCTAAACAATGGCCAGAGTGAGGATGAATCCATGGCTCTGAAGAAAGTTCACCCACCTACGTCTGGGGACAGCTCAAAAACAGAGCACTACATATGGTTCCTCACTCTACAAACTTGACAGAACAAAAGCATGTGCCTCTTGGGTCTGACTTGGATACCACTGATCCTGAACTTTAGTGCCAAAATTCCATGACTGAATTAAGGTTTAAAAACAATATATATATTCTGAAACTTTTCTTTTGATATCAAATACAATAATGAAAACCAGCAAATTCATTATTCCATATTCTCTTTTCCTTCACTAAAATCAGGAAAAGCAAAGCAGAAGAGTTCCTAATAATCTTAAGGATTTTGCAAAACTCTCATGTTCTCCATTTATATTCACCAAATAACTCACCAAAAGCCTATAAATTTTGCAAGAATGTAGAGCTGTAAATTTCCTTCTTCCTTGCAGAGGCACCAGATCTCAAAAGAAAGGATGATGAATGGGTATAGTTATAAATACTCCAAGGCTAATGAGAACCAAAGATGAACTGTAGAAAAATCTGGTATTTGGGGATATAGCTCCTGGCGTGTGCTTGAATTAAAAGGTCCCGACCTCACGTAAATTCCAGAGCTATTTTATCAGATAAGAAAAACAAAGCCCAAAAGTACTCATAAATTACTGTACATTGAAATTTCACCAAATATTATTTAGTCAAGAGAAGCATATTTTTCAAAATGTAAGTAACTGACTGCTAATTGAAATATAAATTACATTTATGGACATTTTAAGGATTTTATTAGAATGGTTGTTTGTCACTTCATTAGTAGTGCAGGAAAGAGAAACATTAATCAAAGCTCCACAAACAGTAAAATGTGAGGAGGGACTCAGACTGCAGAACATTCAGTGGAACATGAGTCAGACTTGACTGACTGAAAACTTTCTTACTATCTGATAGATACTTTTGTGCAGTATTACCTGTACCGAAATGTTCCCAAGATCACAGATTATAGGTGGATGCTGCCAGGGCTGCCAGATTTAGGCCGGAAAAAAAAAAAAAATCACCAGTTAAATTTGCATTTCAGATAAACAACAGATCATTTTTTAGTATAAGTACGTCCCAAAGTATTCCACATGTGATATACTTACACTAAAAAAATTATTCATATTTTTTAATATACTGTATTTTATCTGGCAGGCGGTCTGCTAAGGTGCTAGGACATTTCAACTGAATATTGGAAGGACAGCAGATCCCTCTAAGTACCTTGAGTTGCCCTCAGACCAAAATCCAGTCACTCTTTCATGCCAGATGGCACCAAATGTGACTAAGCAGACATCTCAACACAACATCCATGGCAACACGTTCAGAAACTGTCTGCCTGCTTTCCTAATTTAAGTTAGAATCATACAATTGCAGAATTTTAGAATTGGAGACTTGCACAGATTTTTTTTTTTTTTAAAGAAAAAAAATTATGTCATTCCCAAGTGCAAAGAACTTTCCTACAACCAATTACCAACGTGGGAGTGAGGGGAGTGATGTGGGCACCATATTTAACCACAGGAGAGCCAAGAAGATTCCGGTGCCTCTCCACTCCCAGAATTTATTTATTTTCCCAGTGTCAGCAACTTATTAAGGGCCCTTTTCACAACTGGTGATATAAGCAGAGGAGAACTGGACCGTGAACTCTTTGAGGATAGGATGGGTATTGAATTCATCTGTGTAATCCCAGAGTTTGGCACTTGGTGGGCACTCAGTGAATGTCTGATGAATGAATGCGTGATGGTGTATACGGTCTTGAGTCACCGAGACCAAATGTGTGTTGGTTGGGAGAGAGAGTGAGGTGGGGAAAAGCAACGCGTAGGGAAGCCTGAGGGCAGGGTGATGGAAGAAGGCAGGATGACCACAGCTCCTGCCCCAAGTCCATCTTCCTAACCGAATCCCTTTGTTTGTAATTCCCCCAATAATGGTGCAAAGACGTCATCACTCCCTGCATGTGGGTTTTCAGGAAGGCAACCTGATCTCAGTCCAGTGTCTGCTCAGAGCCAGCTGCCTGCCCTCTCTAGGACCACCTTATCCACCACAAGCACAGGTAGTGGCCCACAGACTCTCACCGAACTACAGAAACATCTGCAACGAGGGGGAAAAACATTGACTCCAGCACACAAAAGGAAATTAGAACTACCAAAATTAGCAAATGTTTGCTTAAATGTCTACAAAATATTACTTTAAGGCAACAATCAAATGCTCACACAGTTAAATATAAAGGATATTTAATATAAGATATGGGTACATATTATGAATTATGATACACTGTGATGTATGACCAGCCCTGTCCATGTTCCTTCCTCCCTCCCATCTGAAGCTATTCTAATGTCAATTACCCGGTAGAGCACGTAGAGCAGGTCCCACAACGTTTGGAAAAAGAATCATTTCTCCTGGTCCCTCCTTGCCTCCTATCCTCTTCCTCCTCAAAGCTGCTCGCTGCAGAAATGCCCTGATTTTAAATGCTGCTTCATGCAGCAAATCTGTTTACCTGTAGAGTTTTATACAGTCTTCTACAGCAAGGTGCCATACGGGACAGCTAAAGAATTCAGTGTAAGTTTGCTGGGAAAAGTTCTAATGGTTGAAGCACAAAAAGAGGCACAAATATTAAAAATGGCTCTTAAGGAGTGCTCCCCACGTGTAAAGTACTGTGTTCAGGCAGGGTACTGACACCTCGCAACACCCGCTGAAGTGGGTGGGACCTATGGTCATCTTCACTGTACAGCCTAGGAAACTGGGACCTAGAGGAGGCTAAGTACCTTGCCAGAGGCCACACGCCGAGCCAGGATGTAAACTTGGAAAACCTGGTCCTGTTTTAGATACGTCATTGATTGCTCCAGTCCTGGAGTCAAGTGGACAAAGGGTCATTGCCCAAGAATGATTCAAACCTGTAAAAATGTTAGGATGGCCATGCCCAAAATGAGCGAAGTCTGGGGGGAGGCGGGGAGAAAAGAAAGACAACCAAAGAGATTTTTCCAAGCAAAGACGATGGGAAAGATAGAAAAGGTAAGATGCACACTTCCCAAACTGAAGGCAGAGCTATTGCACCTACTATTTGGGAATTGGAGGATCACTATATTAGAAAGGAAAGCTTCCGAACGCCAGGAGCCAGAGGGAGACACCAAGTTCATTCATTTCAACCTCCGCCCCCCATTTAAAAGATGGGAAGCCAAAGCCAAGAAAGGTTAAATAACTTGTTCAAGATGGCCCAACTGAAGAGTATTCCTGCCTTCAGACTCCACTCCAGGGTTCCTTTCCCCCAACTAACTCCCTGGGCCTGCTGGTGAGAAGTGAAAGGCCAAATAACTTTAAAAAAAAAAAAAAAAAGCAATCCAGGACACATAGAAGATCCTGACCTCAGAGCCTCTCTAGAGAAATCTTTGGGGATCCCCAAAGACTAAGGAAAGGAGATAGAGTTTTGTTTTGTTTTTTTTCAAATAGGGTAGATCCAGGAAACTAAACCATAGAAAGATTCCTGTCCAAGCCATAAAGGAGTTTTAGCAGATTTTTGCAAACACTACACACTAATAATTCACTAAGAGTATCACGTCAAGTTAACTTTATATACGGTGTTTGACAGAGTTCTTGGTGAGCAGGAAAAGTCTGGTCCACTTAAGGTGTCAAGATTTAGGCAAGCTACGTGGCAGTCTGATACCTGGAGTTGAAAATGGCAAAATATGGGCTGGATTCAGCTCAAACATAACCTTCTCAAGACACCTTCGCCAGCCCCACCGCAGACCTGGAAACCCCACCCTCTCCACTCTCAGAGGTCTGTACACTCACCCTGTGAGCAAAGGTGACATCTTCCTGTGGCTTGTTTACCTGGTTGAAACCCCTAAGTGGTCTGTGAGTTGATGGATCCAAGGCCCCTGCACACGGGAGAATCCGGAGAAGTATCAGTCCAATGAATGAATTCGTACTTCTGTTTACAGAGCCATGATCTATTGAGCGCCTGCAGTGTGTCAGGCATTGTGCTAAGTACCCAGTGTGCCTTGCTTAACAAGACACACAAGGTCCCTGCCCTCAGGGAACTTAAGAGTCTTGTGGGAGGGATAGGCATAAAGCAAATAATTATACAAATAATTATCAGAGTTACTAAGGGAAAGTACCAGATGCTTCGTGAGGGTGCACTTCTCTGAGGAATGACATTTAAGCTAAGAATCAAGATAGGAACTAGCAAATTAAAAGATAAGGGGAGGAACATTTCTAGAAGAAAAAAAGAGCCCTTTCCCTCTATCCCCCATAAAATCCCCAAAGTAGGAAGATGCAGGGTGCTTTCAGAGAACTGAAAAAAAGGCCTGTGGGGCTGGAATAAGGAAGAGTGCACCCCAGTAAGGAGACAGGGCCAAGCATGAGGGGCAGGCAGGTCCCATTGAAGATTCCTGCCCAGAGAGCAAAGAGGCATGTCACTGAAGGGCTTACAGCAGGGGAGCAACATGATCAGACAGGCTTTTTTAAAAGACCACTCTGGCTGTGTGTGCAGAATAAACTGGAGGGGAAAGTTGGAAGGAGACCAGCTAGGAGGCTCCTGCAGTAATCCTGGCCAGTTTTGAAAGGACAGACAAATTGACAAGAGCACTGTTCTGAGGAGTCACCATTATATAACAATAACCCAAGAGTTCATTCAAGCTTGGGCAACAACTTGAAGGAAGATCTTCATCACACAGGGCCACAATATCTCCTTAGCTCCACTCCATCCATCCCTTCCAACATCTTTATCTTGACGGGAATAAGGTCAGAAGGGAAACTAGCAAAGCTGCTAGTACATAAATCTAGGAGGAATGGCTATGAACTACTATTTGACTCTCTTGTAGGCTCAGGGAAAGAGAAGGTTCATAAAGATGAAAACTATAAGGTCTCCATTCTCAAGGAGCTCTCAGGAGGCTAGTAGGGATATCTGAGCAAAACAAATATTAATACAAGGCCAACTGAGATGAGGGCTATAATGATGCTATAAACGAAGTTGTATGGGGACTTCCCTGGTGGTCCAGCAGTTAAGACTCCACGCTTCCACTGCAGGGGGCACGGGTTCGATCCCTGGTCAGGGAACTAAGATTCTCACATGCCACACAGTGCGGCCGGAAAAAAAAAAAAAAGAAAGAAAGGAAAAAGAAAAAGTTGTATGAACACACACTGGCAATAAAAAGTTAATTCTGGCAGGGAAGTAAGGGAAGTTTTTTCCCAAAATTTACTTTTGACTTTGGCCTTCAGGGCTGAGTAACATTTTGAGGGGTTGGAGGAGGGCAGGGAGGGGGGTATTCCTGGGAGCAGGAAAAACCTGCAAGAACAGAGAGGAGCAAGTTTGCTAGAGCCCAGGGGCAAGGCAGGCCCCAATCCACGTTCTAAAAAATCAGGATTAGCATGAACTTGCGGTTTACAATGCCCTTCCACATATACTGTCTAATTTGATCTCACATCCACACCGAGGTCAGTAGGACTGGTTGTGATTGACATCTGAGAATACTGACGCTCCACTGACCCAACCATATGGGATAGAGCCAGCAGTCACAGCCAAGTGTTCCGGCCCCATGCATGAGCCTTGTTCCACTCTTAACCAATAAGACCAGATAAAACCAACAGTGCAACATTTAATAGAAAGAAAAATAAAGACCACAATAAATTTTTATAAAATTTCAGAAATGCAAGGTGACCACAAACTCAACACATGCTCACAAATACTACGCTTCAGCCAATACAAGCTTCTTTAAGATACATATATCATTAAGAAATTATTTAATAATGGCCCTTCTATGACCATGAAGTCAGAGAGCCCTCACTTTGATTTCCAGCGCTTGCACTTACGAGCTGTATGGCCATGGAGTGGAAATTACTTCCCTCTTAAGTGCAGTTCCCCCGTCTTCAAATTGGAGTACTAAACCCATCCTGTAAGGATTATTGGGAGACTGAATGGGAAAATGCAGGTAATGAGGCTGGCACGAAGCCTGGCACATTCTGTTAATGTTGGCCTTTATTAACTCTCATTACA